CAGAGCTGATGTTGTTCTTACAGGCTGAGCAGTGTGGCTAGTGTGAGTGGGGTAAGAGTAAGGCTATTTCAGTGATACTGAGGCCTCAGCTGTCTGTATCAACACTGCTGGAGGCTGGGACTCACTGCAAGGGTCAGGCTAGGAATCCATCCCTGATCCTCCTTATTCAAGGAGGAAACAAACCTTATTCCCTTCCCCAGAATGTGTCAGCCCATCAAGGTAGGCCATGTCCCTGGAACTAAAGTTAGCCTGGAACTACTGAGAGAGGCTACAGTAACAGAATCTTGAAAGCCTGATTTAGTTTTCCCCTCCCTCCCTCTCATATTCTAATGATTTAGGGATGAGTCAGTCTGAGTTTCTTTCTCAAACTTTCTCTATTCCCCAGGCTTAACTCGTGTTTGTCCAACCATCATCTCTGTCTAGCCTCCCCAAGGTCATCTCTGACTCTACAGAATGCCATGCCAGCTTGCTTGGGTGGGGGTTATGGCACTGGAACTTAGAAACCAAAGCAATAGCGTGCTCCTTAGTTGCATCCTCCCAGCATAGATTGCCTGGTGTATAATTGTAATCTGTGAGGAATATGCTGAAAGAAACTCATGAAAACTGCTTATTATTGAAGGGGGATTATCTAAGACCTTGTTAAAATAATTTGCTAATTGTTCTCTTGCCATCTCTCTTCCCCCTTCAAAATGGCTGCACACCCTTTGGTGCTATGATTTCTCTTAGCATAGTCAGGAACCTGGAAACTGCACCCCTTCATATATATTTTTATTTCTTCCCTCAGTGAGGTAGGAATGGCCAGTCTTACATTATGAAGAGACACGCACTTTGGCAGTTGTCATGCTGGTTGAAATGTTGTAGATGGGTTGTTACTGTTGATTGCTTTTGTCAGGAAGCCTTCTGCAATATTTATAGGAGCCAAAAGCATTTCCCAATAAAATGGAACACATTGATTTTGCATAGTTTCTCTTCCAAATTATTGCCCCCAAATGGCATGATTTTCAAAGACATTTTAAAATAGACTTCATCTACCTGCAAACTGTGAGAGGGATAACATGGCCAGGTGTGTGACAAGACCCAATCTCAGCCATCTACCTACCAACCTAAAGAAAGCCTGCCTTTGGCTTCCAAAAGATTGCCCACTCCTGGTTAATATCATGACATGAATGAGCTGCAGCAGGTTTTAGACTGGATATATAGATTAAACTGTTCACATTTCTGGAAACGTATATCACTTTTTTTTTTTTTTTTGGTCTTGCCTTGTTGAAGGAGAGGTCAGTTAAGGTGATGAGTAAATGGCTGCAAAGATACAGAAGAACAAGCTGAGTGGCACATACCTTTATTTCAAGCTGACTGGTAGAAAAGTGGAAGATGGGGGGATAACCAATAGATGAAAGTACTTTTATCAAGACAGTTCTTTGCATTTCACAAAAGATAGGAAAATATCAGGACAACAAATGGCTACAAAGAGCTTGATGTAGTGCCAGCTAGTGAAGGAGTTATTATCCAATACATCTCCCTTTGGCCATATTGGTGACAACACAGTCAGAAATAAACCTTGCTGCAGTGCAGTCTTGAACTTGTTTATGCAGAGCTGTGATCCACTCTATAAAAAGGGATATTGGTTCTCATGAGGCAACTTTTATTTCTTCTTGAAAAAAGTTACCATTAAAAAAGTAAAGTTGCTGAGTCAAGCTTGGATTCTGGGGACATCATGGACATGCCTATGCAGCTTTCTTGCCCACAGTACACACATGGATTTGCCAGTGCTTTCTCCTTGAATGTGCTTCAATTTTCCACTTTAGCTATGGGCCTGGTATTTCCTGGCAGTCTCCTGCCTAAGTCCTAGCCAAGCCCAACTCTGCTCTATTTCTTATCTCCTACATGGTCAGACAGGTGCTGCCATTTGTATTAATGCATTTTAAAATCTATTTTAACCCATTTTTATTACTGACTATTAATGGGAACCTCAGGCATACTGCATTACCCATGAAGCTCTCTTGTTTGTTCAGGGTACAACTAAAGTAACAGTGGTGCTGCAGACAGGTTGTAGAATAGTTATTCTACATTCAACCTCTTTTTGTCTTCAACCTGGCACCCTCCAGGTTTGAACTTCTAGGAACTTTAGCTCAAAATGTCTGGAAAGAACAAGAATAGGGCAAGCAGCTGAAGACAAATAGTGACCTGATTCATTGTGTGGGTCCTAATGAGGTGAAACAGCACCATCTACAGCCAAGCCCCAAATATTGGGGACTTACAGAATTTCCAAGTTTGTAGCATACAACCATACATATCCTTTAGAAAAAGTAGCAATCAAGGGAAACAAAACTATATTGGAGGGGGGATCCAAAACAATTCAGTGAGGAGTGGGTGTTAACAGTGGCCATAGAATTCTGACTAACTGCAATCTCAACAAGAGCAAATTGTTTGTCCTGTTGCATGTTTATATCTTCTGTTCTAGCACAAAAAAAGAGCTCAGGGACAGGATATAACATTTATAAGGCCATTTTTCCGCATTTCCTCCATACTAGGTGTTAAACATCAACTTTACTGATATCAGAATTGTGGTATGTGCAACATGCTATTTGCTCATGATTTCCACTTACCAAGAGGGTATTCCACTTTGCTGTCATGGTTCATCTGAAACATAAGGCTAGACACAAAAGAGAGAAATGATGAACCTATTTATCCTCTATTAGTGGGATCTGATGTTGCTATTAGAATGAAGATTTATTCATGGGTCTTATACTGCTTGTTGCTCCCTGATATTCTATACATAATGGACAAAAGAATTGCATTAAGCCTCATAGATAATAAAACAGCAGCAGTTGCACCTGGATAAGTAGCGAATCTGTGTTCTTGCTTGCCCCTGTTCTGTTCCTTATATTTTGCATGCATCCATTTAGGGGTATGGTTATTACTGACAACCCACCCAAAGCCTACAGATACTCCTGGAACTGAAATAAATGTGAATTCAGACATTTGAATTCAGAATTTTGCTTACTTTCTTCTGTCTCATCATTCTGTGAACTGTTTTGCTCCAATTTTCCAAGTCACACAACAAAAGTGGAAGTTGTTGTCAACTTAGCCCTCAAGGCCATGAAAGGTGTTTCTCAAGGGTCGGCTTTTATGCTGCTTTAGGAAAGGAGAGGATGATGTGGTAGAAAATCTGCATGGAGACTGTCTCTGTGGGATGGCTTGTATTGCTTTCTGAGCAGTGCTGTGTACAGGGGGGTCATGAAAGTCATAGGGACACCACAACTATGTGATTGAAGCCCTGCCTCTTTTTATGTGCATCACAGTTGTCCCTGTTTCTGAGGAAAGGCAAATAATTGCTTTGTGTGAGATGGATGGCTATATAAATGCAATAAATAAATAAACAAATAAATTGCCAAGGCTAAGCAGCATCAGGGCCACTGAGACTCCAGTTTGCATTGGAATTCAAAACGTTGCCATTGACATCTACATCAGAGATTGGCAAACTGAGGGCTCTTCTATGCTTCCTTTTCCAACTACAATTTCCAAAACTGAATGATATTAGCTATGCCATTTTGAGGTAAGAAGCATTGAAATGGTAACATGAAGTCAGAAAATAGACTTAACATAGTGATTTCATTTTTAAAAACCATTCTAATGTATATAATTCTTTAATTTCCTATTTCTTCCACTTGTTTCTACCCAACTAGTTTGGATTGTATGCTTGATATTTTGGTTTTTGATTGTAAATAAACTTTAATCAATAGCTTTAGGCTTAACAGAGTTAAAAAGAGAACCAATGTACTATAGTGGTTAGAACCTGGATTAGGGAGTCTGAGGCTCAAAATCTCTACTTGATCATGGAGTTTATTAGTCACTCTTTCTTAGTCCAACCTACAGAGCTGGTATGGTAAAACATTAGGTTAGCTCTCCCATATTACTACTGAGCTCTTATGAAACATATGGGCTATAAATCCAAACAAGTAAGCAAATATGAAAAAACAAATTCTCAAAATTGTTGCCCGAAGGAAGGAAGGAAGGAAGGGAGGGAGGGAGGGAGGGAGGGAGAGGGAGAGGGAGAGAGAAAGAGAAAGAGAGAGAGAAAGAGAGAGAGAAAGAGAGAGAGAAAGAGAGAGAGAGCGTTCTTGTGTGACTCACTTTGTACCATCAACCTATATATTGGGTCCCATCTCCCCCCCCTCCCCCCCGTTAA